TTTCACCAATAGCTATTTTTCCAAATGCCTGACTATTCAGTTAGACACCACAGACTGCAAATGCTCACAGAAACAGCTACATCATGGATTTCCATATACAAAGATGCATTGTAGTCAGCCCAAGAAACTGAAGCACTTTCAGAAGAAAGACTGTTAACAGAGTTGATAACTGAAAGATCTCTGGCCTTGGGCATTTAAAAAAATGCAACACACCACCTTTCCCTGTATTAGTTTCTGAGGCTCTTGGTCCTTTATTTTGGGAAGGAGATGTTACCAAGTATGTGATGTCCATAACATCCTATTATGTTTTTCTAATTTAGGCTTTTTCTTGAAATAAAGAAACATTCACAACATTCCAGATTTAGGAATATATATATTTAGGGCTAGAAAGCATCTACTGGATCACAAAGAACAGTCCTCCTGACTGCAAGAAGAAAGATGTGGGGCAAAGGTACCTTATCTCACAGATAAAGAGTAGAATAGTTTCTCTGCCAGTCATGCATAAAGCAGCACAGCACAGCAAGGATCTGCTTCTGTTAGAAAACTTTCCATGATACCTCTAGGCCAACAAAAACAGTAAGCACCTCACAAACCAACCTCTGTGATTTCATCTTTATTTGTACACACATTCACACCCTACACCTACACACACCTTCTTTTGCTTCAAATATTTGCCCTCCTGGGGGACTACGAGAACACAAACTCTTTCAAATTCATTTTGGAGGTGAGAAACTAGTTTTAAATCATTTATTGAAATAGCTTAAGGTTCTAGCCATCAAGAAATGTGTAAGTTTATCGCTGGAGGTTTTTAAGAACAGACTACATTTCTATCTGCTGAGAATGATGGGTTTGTGCCTCGTAGTGTGGGAAAGATTCAGCAATACCTTCAGGTGTCTTCCAATGATGTATTTTTTTAAATGATCTTAACTTAAAACAAAAAAAAAAATCCACAATGATTCACAATATCAGGATGCACTTGAGAAAGAAGAAATAAACCCTCCAAACATTCACAAACAGATTTTGTATTTAACAGCTTTTTAAAACATCCTTTGCAGACAATCAAGCTGTAATGGTGCAGTGGTAAGCAAAGGTCTTAAGTTCATTTAAATGTCAATGCACAGTGCTGCAGGAAAACTAAAACTAACGTGTGTACTGCTTTCACACAGACATTTAAAATAGAATGGCTTATTAGTGGTTTGCAGCACCTGCAATCAACACAGTTCCTCTTAACTGAAAAGTACAGGGACATTGTACACATTTAAAAGCCAACAACATGTTGTCATCGAAATAAAAGTTTGCAATTCTACTCAAATTCCTCACATAAAGTCAAAATTCACTAAAACAAAGCTAATTTTGAAGAAGACTTATAGCAAACCTAAAAGCAAAAGTGCACTTTTCTAATGTTTTGCAGCTATTTTAATGCAGTGATTGTATTTTCCCTGCTTTTCTCAATAGTTACTGCACTTAGTACGTACACAATGTATTTATCTCTCCCATCCAATCTATTTCATTTTGGTTTGTGTTTTGTCCTACTGAACACGGATTAATGTGAAACAACCTCCAAAATGTTTTGAAGCAATCCAGAATCTGAATTATGATCATACACCCATTTCATGTGATTCATCTATTACACTGAATATGCCAATAGTGCATTTGTCCAGCTCCAGTTGGGGACTGGTAATAGGTTAGATTTGCCTGAATGGGAAAAACTCAAAAAGAAAATAAAATTGTTTATGAATTTGGTAACCCACAAATCACATTCAAGAAGTTATTTGGGAGGTTTGATCCAATCCCAAGGAATGTATTCTGCTCCTGCCAAACCTGTAAGATTTGCTGCCATTTCGTACTGGTTTACTGTGACTGCTAGTTGAGGACCACATTTAGAAAATGCAAAGAGCAGAGTATCTGTTACAACCACTGCCCACAAATAATACAAGTTTCCAGCATCTCATGGATATATAATCTACCAATCCAAATAAAATGCTGGAAAACTGCTCTCCTAGTACCATTTGCCTGAAAAGGAGTTTATTGAAAAGGCTTCGTAACAAATATTTCACATGGAACATTTTTTATCTTAAAAAGCTGTGACTGCTTTCAACAGTAAGTCTGTCAGAACAGCTGCATTCTATATACTGATAATGCACAGACTTACTAGTTCCTGATAGATTATTTCCCAGGTCTCTAACTCAGTCTGTATGGATGAACTCTGTAAGGATCCTCAAGAAAATTCACAGGAACAAAGAGTTTAGCTACATATTTAGCTGCCAAGGCTCCTGCAGCTTTTTCTTTTTACAGTATTCTGAATTACTAACTTTCCCTCCAACAGCAATATCTTATATCAGATATATTATTTAGGATCTTTCTGTTTTCTTTACAAACTATGCATCTTTATGGAAAGGTTGTGAACCCCCACATATCTGGTTATATCACAGGATCAAATGAGGAAATTCTGATTTGTTCTGATTATTATTTCACAGTCCTATTTCACAGAAAAACTACCAGGATTAACACATGCTTGTAAGTAAGGAATTAGCTTTCCTAAATAAGCTTGGACACAATTTACCCTGTTATTACCAGGTCTCTTTTTGCCATGGATTTTATGTCCTCTCTGTGGTACAGACTGGGCAGCAGAAAAAGGACACAAAATGCAGATATGAATGAGAATAGAGCTAGGATATCTGAGCTTGGTTCTTGGTTATAACTATATATTCAAACCAATTTTCTGCATTCTAATTACTTTTGTTAGACTTGTGATAAGCTTCAATTTCCAACACAAAGTTCTTACTCTAAGCATTACTGAAAAACCTGAAAAGTTCATGTTTCAAGGTACTGCCCCTTTTTGCTTGAAAATCCTTCCAGCAGCACCTTCCAGCTGAGTGCTGTCAGACAGGAGGTACAGGACTCCCTAAGGCACGATGCTTTCCATGAACCCCATGAAACTCACCAGGTATTGTATCTCCTCTAAGGGTCTAGACCAGCAGCATAAACAGCACCAAACATAGAACTTGACTTTATCTCTTACACAGAAGTGCAGATCATACTGTGCTTAACAGAAATGGTTTGTTGAGTTGATCCAACAGAGATTAAACACAAGTAGCCAAAACTGTTACTCCACTTGCCATCCTATCCTTGTTGTGGAGGTCACCAGGGTCATTGACAGATCAGTAACCTGCATGTGAAGTATTTCCAAAGCCATCATACTTCACAAAATGTCAAGTTGAAGGATGCTGAAACCTGCATTGATTTAGGTCATTATGGCAGACTAAGTGGTTCAGGAAAAGCTTTATAAATTTTTCAGACACCTCCATATCAGTGGAAGAAAAGTGAGAAAGGAGGGAAGATGAGTGAGGGTATTAAAAAAAACTCACAAATGTTTTATAAAGACATTAATATGGCGACAAATTGCACAGGCAGTTGTAATACTCCTTAATTTGCCTTAGTAATATGAGCAAAAGCAGTCTCAGATCAGAACACATCTGACAAACTGAAGTTCTGTTTATGCCACTCCAAGGATTCACTCACATGGTGATAGCACTAGTGAATTTCTTGCTTTCAGATATTCTTTTCCTTCTTTCGGGTATTTCTGCTTAGCAGAAATATGTAAACTCAGTATTTGTGTGAGCATCTACTCCAATCAACCTACTACCTGAGAAAATAAAACAACTCACAGGACTGAAAGGAATCACTGAAAATGACTTCCTGGAAGTGAGTCAAGTTTTCCTCTCATCGACATTCAGCACCAGTGCCTGAGCAAGCAGAAGAAGAAAGAAAGCAAAGACAAAATATTACAAGCAGAAAGCAGAGAGGAGGAAACATGTTATTTCTCAATTTAAAGGAGAAAGTCAGACCTTGAAACACTCTTTATGAATGTCTCATTGCAGTGACCTCTATTTGCACAGGACATGCAAAAAGATACTTTAATTCCTTTTGCATTATTCTGTACCTGTGGAGGAAGTTAAGGGATACATTTTCAGAAAGAATCGAGCCAAAGATGTACATAACAGTATCCCAGTCTTCAACAGCTACAGGTTCTTTCCTGTTTATCTTGCACAGTACCCAAGCAAAAGAAGCCAGTGAATACAGCACAGGTGCCATTAAAGTCATTAGTTCAGGGAAATTCGTACCTTACAAAAGCTGTTCACTTCCTCATTGAAGTTTATTTGTTGCTAAGAGGGGGACAGGGTGAGGAATGAAGCAAAATGAAGGTTTTCAGGACACTGACAAATAATGTCCGATGGTTAGATCAATTATTTCTTGATTATCAGCATAAACACTATCTCCATCAGTGTCATTATTTTAATTTATTACTTCAAATTCATCTTCCTCTACCTCCACTGTCTTCTCATTGCTCCAGCTAGGGAAGAAGAAGCAAAAACATTTAAAAATAAATCATGTTTATTTTTATCAGGTACTTCCTCTCCTATGACCTACTGCAAAGAATTAATTGGCACCACTACTGCAGCTCTTTGCCTAATACCTTTGTCTAATATCACATCTTTGACTCCAAGAAGTTCATGATTAGGATAAATTTAAAAGTGCATCAGTATTAGTTAGATTTAGTTTTAGTTTTCTAAAGTCTTGTAGATAATTCCAAATTTTCCCCAAAGTATATTGCATTAGACAGACCAAACCAAAGGCAGTAGCCAGAAGTTAATAGAACCACAAAATATGTTTTCAAAAGGACTCTCATTCCTTGCAAAAAGAAACCAGACCACAGAAGAAACCAGGCATTTTTGTCACCCTGTTTTCAATGTATTATTGGAAAATTTCTGAATCCTTGATTCATAGGTTTTGGCTATTTTTAGCAAAATATATAAATCTCACATACTTGTTCCTCAAATAATTTAAGAATGAAGTACACCTTTACAAAACATGTTGATCTGTTTTAAAACATTTGCAACAAGAAAAAACTCTGTGCTCTCAATTGTATGAATGTCAATTGCCTACAGAACAAACAAAATGAAACCTGCAAATGTGTAGATAAAGGCAGAATTTGGTTTCTGTATGGTTTTTTTCAGGAATTCATTCACCTTTGCAAGTACTCAGATAGCAGGCACAATAAATGAGCTACATGTATGGATTCATACCAAGATACTCAACACCAAGCCTTTCACATGACTCCAAGCAGGCCTTGTGTGTGTTCTCATAGCCATAATCACTGGGCCACAGCTTGGTGGTTATCCAGAGGTCCTCTCGCTTCACGCCGCTCTCTCTGATGGCCCTTTGCAGGAGACATTCACAGCCATATCTTTTTGCTGTGTCGATGTGACGAATGCCACAGTGCTGCAATGCATGGACCACTGCCTCATGGGAATAGCCACCTTGGTGGGAAGTGCCTAAATGAACAAAAGCAGAAGTGAATTGTCAGTGGTGAATTATGAGGGACATATTTTGTCATTCTTTTTAGTTTTTTTCCTTTTTGTTTTTTTTACATATATCGTCACAGATCCTTCTTATTCAATATTCATTTCCTAATAGTAAAGAAATGGGAATTGACAGATCTCTAGGCTGAGAAAATACATGGAGTGGGAGAATGTTGATGCTGATTAGAAAAAACTTAATCAAAATCATATATCAACAGCACTTAATTGTAAAGAAGTGATTTAAGGAGTCAAGCTGGAAATGATAAAGAGAAAACACTTTCTGGAAAATTGTATATGTCTCTTAATTTTCACATAGAAGCATAACATTTACAGATGAACATGTATATTTAAAAAAACTCCAAGTCAACATTAAACCCATTTTATTTTGTGAAAAACATATCCTGAAAACTTTACTCTATTGAACTCCTGGTAGTTTCAAGTTATTATTGCATTGTACAATCCCAGACCAGGCCACACTGCAGGTGCAATTCACATGATGTCAAGCTCAGCAGTAACCCAAACAACGGAATCCTACACAAGAGTTACAGAATGGCCATGCAGGGAGTCCCAGTAACAAAGTGCTGTTACTCTCATTGTGTAGGTATTCACTGGACATGTATTTAGCATGTCAAGGGG